GGGGGGTGGGGGGTGGGACATACCATGAATTCATTATTTTAAGATTTTTAATGTTTCTTAACGTTTGCATTGAAATCAGAATAGAATGAAAGAGCAATGGGCAATGATAGCATATTCAATTACACTCTTTTCTTTAGACAGTTAGAGAATGGCACTCATCATAGACAACGACTTAGATCGCTGTACTGGAAGCATTACATCTCACCTCACTGTAGGTTACCTCTATTAGGCGGAGACCGTCAAAGCCGGGTGAAATCCCGTGCATCTCACCTCTATGAGCTTGTCCTTCTTCCCTGCGAAGATATTGGCCATCTTCTTTTTTGTTTCCCCCTCTGATACAAAGTTTCTGCAAAACCTTTGTAAAAGCCTCCAAGCAGGACAAGCTCAGCCAAAGCCCGGTCATGATCTCGCCTTTCCGGTATCTCAAATTGCTCTGTAATCTGTTCGTATGGGACGCTGGGCCCAGCTTCCACCACGTGTTGCTCCCCACGAATAGATTGCAGCATTGTTTCTCCTTTCAAAAAAAAAAAAGTAAAAAAAAGGAAGAAGACATTCAAGACAAGCATATATGAGTGAGGAGGTCCGGTCCAGGACCTGCCAACGGTAACTCAAAAAAAAAGAAGGAAAAAAAGAGCCTCCCGAGTACTGCGAGCAGCAAAAGACGCAAAGAAGGAGAAGCACAGTTGAGCAAAGGCGAAAGCAATTGCTGTATTATTACAAAGCCGAGAGCACAGCAAAACCCAGAAGTTGGGCGAGAACACCCCGACGCCCTAGTCTGTCGACAAAGAAAGCCCGACTTCAAGCCTCCACTTACACAAATTACAACCACAATGTAGCTGCTCTGCTACCAGGTGACCGCCTTTCCTACTCTCTCTCCTACTCTTAATCTCCATACACATCCTACTGCTTCTTCCTCTCACTCTTTGTCAATTCTGTTTCACTCTGCTGTATCATTCCAGCCTTGACTCAGTGTTGGCGGATATACTTTCTGCTGGGATTTCACCTACTAAGGGCCGTGCCTACTTTCCGGAACGATACAGAGAAGGATTTGAATGTGCCCTGCACGACGACTAGAATGTACAAATCAAATTTAGTCCCACAACATTCCCATACTTCTTAAATTTTGAAATGAATTGATATATATTACATTCAGTATTCACAAACAAAAACAAAAACAAAAACAAAAACAAACAAAAAGCTGGCCGACATCCGCAGTCGCAGGCTTTGAGTATTTTGACATATTTCTTAGCACACAGCCGATCACTTTGCCAGCATCATCAGTCCTTCAAAAAAATTCAAACTCGCCTGCTGCAAGCGACTTGACTTCGATATCCGCAGTAATAAGCCTAAGCCTCTCGCTCCATGACTATGCAGCTTTCAGCTTGACAGCAACTGCCTCCAGTGAAGGAACAATCCCCCCGCCTTCACCTATCATATCAGGCCTTTGTCGTCCGTCGAGGCTGGCACAACTCGACCCCAAGTGTGCGACTCCACGAGCAAGAGCGATGTCCCAATCGCCGGCATTTTGGTCAAGGACATCTTTGAAAAGCGCGCCGTCTTCTATTGTACCTTCGACGATTCCAACTGCATTACACAATTTCCCTGTCACCATTTCCAGCATAGTGACCCCGAGCGCGTAGATGTCCGTCTTTTCGTCGAAGATCCCTGACCTAAAGCATTCAGGTGCTACGTATTGGGAGCCTTTTGCCAGAATCGTCCCGAGCTTTGGAGTTTGTGTGCCAGCAGAGACATCAGAGGCAAGCAGTGTCTCGTCAACCTCACCGAGCTTTGCCACAAAGTTGTCGTCCAAAAGAATATTCGCCGGGTTCACAGCACAATGGATAATCCCATGACCTGTTGCCATCCGATTCGAGTGAACGAAGGTCAGACCTCGAGCAACCTCTCCCATGACCCGCAAGCGAACATACCATGGACGTCATCGGATTCCCCGTATGGGCGCTTTCGATTTGCCAGACAAAAGCCATTCCTTCACGCTTCCATTTCTCATGTGCTCGTAACTCGAGCATCTGTCGTCACCGTAGCAGACTCCTAAAAGAGTCAGCGAATGGGGGTGACGTAGGGACGTCAGCCTGTCCACTACCTGTTTCTCAAAATGGGTATCATCATGATGACTCTTCTCAGTTCCCTTGATTTGGAGTTTCTTCACCGGGAGGCTATGCTGCACGCTCTGGCCCGAAGTGATCTCTGCGGCTGTTGTGGCTTCACCAAATATCTGAGGACAAGTCATGACCGGCCTGCCAACCTCTTCTGGATTCTTCCGGAGGCAGGCAGGGACTACCAGTTGCAGTACAACAGCTGCTCTACCCTGCAGGTCTGCCTAAGTCCGGCCAACCGAAAATCTGGCTGGGCCAGGGCCCTCGGCACTCAGTCAAAGGCCCACTTGCCTGCCATGTGTTGGCTCTTGTGCTCTGCTCTTCTCTGTTCTGTTCTTTTCTGTTTGGCTTGGTCGGTTCAGTTCGGTCCGGTCTGGTTTGGTCCAGTTCGGTTTGATTCGGATCGGTTCGGTTTGGTTCGGTTCGGTGCGGGACTGGTTCAATTGGGTTCCGTTGGGTTCCGGAGTTTTAATGTGCAGTTCACCCCGGTATGCCCAACCGTGACGATCGTCCTCCCTAGTTTCAGCTCGCTACTGAAGTTCTTTGTTGCACGAACCAGATCGCTGAAGGAATACTCGTGAAATGGGCGATCAATGGCAGGCCTGTTCAGGTGAGCTCGCCATTGTCTTTTCAATGTCTGTGTCTTTTTCTAGCCTGGATTCCACGACCTCCTCGGGCTTCTGTGTTGCCGTTTCCAGCGACTTTGCTAGCACAACTGCCTCAGCCTCCAACTGATGGATCTCCTCTGTTTTTGCTCTACCCTCCTCTTCGAGCTCCGTTCTGGATTCCTCAGATATCCGTTGCGGATCGACCTCCTTGTCCAACCTATCTTCCAGCTCTCCATTCTTCCGCTCAAGTGCACTAAGCGCCTCAACCAGCTCTGTTCTTTCTGCCTCAAGCTGATGGATCCTCTCCTCTTTCAGTCTTCCTTCCCGTTCAAGCTCTGCAATGCGCTCATTGGATATTTCCAACTTCTTTTCCATCTCTCCCCTCTCCTCTTCTAACTGGTGTATCCTCTCATCCTTCCCTCTCACATTCTGTTCCAGCTCTGCCCTGGACCTATCTGATATTTTCCGCGCATTGATCTCAGCTTCCAGTGCTCCTTCGAGTTCCCCTACCCTCCGCTCGTACATTTCGGAGCTCATTTTGAGTGCTGCCCTTGAAGCAGCTTCCGCCACACTGATCTCTCGCAGCGACTTTGCGATCTCTTCCCGCGCGTTCACCTCCTTTTCTAGTCTTTCTTCCAAGTGCTTTTTCGCTTCCCGATCCCTCACCGCATCATCAGAAACGGGCCGCCACATATCCATCGCCCTCTTGTAATCTGCGGTCTTTCTGCCGAGCTTCCTCTCGTATTCTGCCCTCATATTGTCTAAGGATGTAACCTCTAGCACGAGGAGCGTTCCGTCGCCTCCGAGAACGAGCTTATCGCATCGCTTTGACGAAGCCATGCTCCATAGGTTCTCCAATCCACTAGAGTAGGACAGAAGTGGTGTGTAGTTCAACTCGTTCCAAACTCGAATCGTCCCATCGCTTCCCGCACTGAAGATGTACGGAAAGCGTGGATGGAAGCAGGCCGAGCGAACACCAACCGTGCCGGCATTGTCTGTCAAGTCCGCCACGCAGGCACCAGTGGTGTAGTCCCAGATCCGCAAGTACCCATCCAATCCGCCTGTGATGAGATGCGACTTATGTACATCGTTGCAGAATTGGAAATTTTGAATCCGCCAGTGGCCTTCGATCGTTTGGGTGGGTTCCGCTTTCCCTAATTTCCAGACCTTTATCTCCCCCGTGACGGACAGACTTGCAAAGACGTGTGATTTCAGGGGATGGAATGCTGCCATCCTTGCTGCACTGTTATGACCATCCAGCGTCTGACGGTACAGAGACAGAGTTTTTGGCGGCGTGAATTCCCAAGTCCACCGGTGAACGTTATCGTGTTGATGATAAGCGCACATCAGCAGATAAGGAAGGAATGGATGGATAGCTATGTCGACAAGTAGACTGCTATCGCCTCTGTATAGAAATGTTTTGCTGAAGTTCGAACGCTCCACCTCATACTGATACACAACCCACGATTGCGCACACAGTACCAAAATCCAATCGATCTTTGGGAAAAACCTTGCACATTCCAAACCGCCGTACTTTTTCACATTCCAATTGGCAATCTGTATGCCATCTTCATGATCCCAGACTTGAAGGGAACTCTGGCCCTTCACAAACAGCAGCCACGGCTTGTTCCGGTGCAGGTCAATAAAGGACGCATCTTGTCGCATGCCGCCTATCATGCCCAATCCTGCTTTTCGCCATTGCGGAAGCAGGCTAACCGCTTGTGAAGCTTCGTCATCACAACTTTCCATCCAGTCCATTTTGTTGCTGCTCGTCCCGTAACTGTTACAACAAAAAAAAAATCACCCAACTTCTTAAGAGCGGAGACCCCTCAGGGTAACTCTTTTGTTGGTAATTCCCCTTAGTACCCTTTGTGTGATCGCAGGTTGACTATTTTAAACTTTTTCTGAAGTTTTTCACAGGAATCTCAATCAGTGTCCACAAGGACCACAACCAGAGTCATTAATATGAACTCTGACAACAATGGATGGCATGCATGTTGTCTATCCTTGGCATGGCAGCATCGGCATCGGCATCGGCATCAGCATCCGCATCGGCAGCGGCAGCGGCAGCGGCAGAGTTTAAAAACTGGCGCCTTATTTGGGTGTGGCCCCGTGCGCGCAATCAGAGTTTAAAACCGCCGCCTTCTTTCACATTAACTCTCGTAAGCTGAGGATAGATGTCTGGTCTTGGCATACAAGTTGCATCTGCAGCAGAACCACATTCTCTGACGGAAGTTTTTTGACCGAAAACCGCTCAGTGCTCACCGTGTGGCAATCACTGTCCAAAACCAAAGCCTTTTTTCATGTGAACTCTAACCAGGTCGGAGGACATCGTCCGTCCTTGGTACAGCGGCAGCATTGGCATCAGCAATCAGTGTCCAAAACCCAGCCGCCTTTTTTAAGCTCAACTCTCATCAGGATAAACGTCTGCTCTTCGCACGGCAGCAGCGTTGGCAGCAGAACCTGAGCCTTTCTTTCACCTAGTAAGATGTCTTGCCAGGATGAATGTTTGTGTTCTAGGCACAGCGGCAGCGTCGGCGCAGCGTTGGCAGAACCACCATAAGCAGAATCGACAGCAGCGTCAACAGCAGCTTCTGCATCCGTAGATTCCTGTTCTGATGTCAAATATCATGACAATCACCAGCAACAGCTTGCACATCAGCATAACAAGAATAACACTAGCAAGGTGAAAAAAAAAAAAAAAAAGTCCCCCCGGTTCCCTGGTCCGGAGCGTGGGGAAGCATTCAAGACTCGAGAGCGACTAAATCATGGGGGGGGGGGAGAGAGAATTAAGACAGAAGAAACAAGCGCGGGCGAATCAGGTTTCGAGTTCAAAAAGGCAAAACATGAAATCATGGTGATACGACCATGGCGCAACTTGGAAAAGCCTTATGCCAAAAAAAGCATGAAACGGCAATCTTCACACCACTGCCCTCCGTCTGCAAAAAAGCAGACACGCCTTTTGGAAAAAAGTTGTGCCATGCTTGAATCACCTTTTCGACCTGGCGAACCTTTTTTTTCGTCCATTTGAAACTCGATCGTGACTGAACCCCGCTTACCTCCCCCCCAAAAAAACTATCGCACGTGCACTCCATGTGAGACTTCTTTGCCGCCCTCCTCCCTCAACACCACCCACCTCCCGTGCCATCCCCCCTCTCCCCCCCCCGTCTCCCATCTCCGTGTCTGATAGCCATCAGATCCAGTCCCCAGTCCAGTGGCTCCCCAACATCAGCGGTCCCCGCAATCCCCCCACTTCCATATACGAATTCTATTCCTATTCTTGTCCAATTATGCACGCACTGCCACACAAGTATCTACTTAACGCTTCTTCTGAAGATGTGCATCTGATTCATTTATAATTTCCATTTGCTTATTTAAACTTTAAACTTTAAAGTTATTTTTGGCAGTCATGGCTATTTAGTATTTACTTATAAACTTGGGTGGGACCATCTGATGTTCACCTACGTAGACGGCGACAACGATTTTCACCAAGGTAAAATAATTACTGTTTCTCTTAAAAATAATAATAATAATAATAATAATAATAATAATAATAATAATAATAATAATAACTGTTTCATCTAATATGTACATGTGGCCTGCAGCTTGGATGCCATGTCAGGCAGCAGCATCTGCAACAGCACCTGTAGCAGGCTGTAGTCTTTTTTACAGATGTCTGCACCCCATAACCACACTCGTAGGAACAACGAGGATGACCCATTGACATTCCAATCGACACTCGGTCACATTAATTTGACCCTTCTTTTGTGGATCTCTGCTAAACCACCAACCTCTCAAAAGCCATTTAAATTCACCTGATAAAGATTCAATTTGGTGGTTTAGCAGAGATCCACAAAAGACACTCGTCGACTGTGGATCTCTGCTAAACCACCAATCAGAGCAGCAGCAGGCAGCCCAGTACCCCAAAGACACAACTTGGGAAGATTGTGGGTTCAAATACTGATGATGCTGCGCACAACGAGTGACAGTCGAGTGCCTTGCACATGGCATTCTCAATTAAACTTCCAGTCTCTCCGACGCCACATTTCCATAAACCCTAAACCCTAAGCCCTCATTTAGTACCCGGAATGGGCTCGGAGGGACTGGAACTGGAAGTTTAATTGTTGAGAAAGCACAAGACACTTGTTGGGCGCAGCAGGATTTGAACCCGCAACCTGCCCAAGTAATTAAGGTTATTTCAAAAAGTTTGCTGTTTTGATGTTGTCAAGTTTTGAAGCCCAAACCTGATCATAGGAGATCTGCGGGCTCAGGCAAGGCTACACTCTTTTCTTTAGGTCGGTAGAACATACTAGATTTCTGCAAGGATATCACCAAATTGAATAACATGGTTAGTTCATATATATATATATCGCCAATTTCGACGCCAAACATATTTCAATCTCATATATGTCTGACGATCCTTTTTCTGCCTCAATTTATGTGTTACTTTTTTTTTTTTTTTTAAAAGGTGATCATGGCTTGAGATACCATCTGACCTGCTGGGCCAGTATTTCAATAGTTTATGGGTGTACCAACAACTGAGCTAGGCCCACTGGTGCAAGTCTGTCATTTATCAAATCTATTTTTACTAGACTTAGTAGACTACAATAAGTAAATAGTTCTTTTTTTTGGTTTTCGATTAAAGATCATGGGAGTTGATTTCATGCACTAAGTTGGTCGTTCGGGGATGACTAACTGTGCGTGTTCACCGTCGCCACAAGTGCCCAGTTCCATTATGGGTGTGGGTACACCCT